AAACATTCGAAATGATTCTATGGTTATCGGCGACTTTTTAGAATGATCATTGATGATTTGATAAAAACCAGATTCCCATGATCACTAATATGCTATTTTTGAAATTCATTTCTCCGAGTAAATATCCGAAATTTAGATTTCGAAACATGCTGTAAATAACGCCGTGAGTGTTGATTTAGTAATGTGTAAAAAATGGCAACATTTACGATGTACCTTATTTTCAGGGGTCATTTTCAGTACTTTTGCTTGGCCTTAAATGCCAGTGGATGATATCACAAAACAGGGAATTTCCCACCTTATTCAAAACTGTGAAGTGGGTGTGGGTTATGTATTTTGAATTTTATTCGACTTCAAAGTGAGGGTTGTAGAGGAGGGACATTTATGTCCCTGTGACCAAGGGGTTAAAAAAGGTCTGTACATGACCTCTGTACATGATGGAGGAAGGGTATGTGTAGTATTAGCAGTAGAATTACAATATAAAGAATGAAATATCATGGTGTAACATTTATACTAAGTTATCCTATAATAATTAGATCCACATCAAGTGCTTTTATGAGTTACCATGGTGTAATATTTGTACATCATTTCATAAAATAGTTTAGCAAGTAATACTTATCATCAGGTAAAATGCATATATAAAATATCAGTAGTTACTTACTTACTTAATATATTGTAGATTTTACGTGCGCTTTCCGACTGCAGCGTATTTCGCACACGGGCCCGGCCAAGCCATTTAATGTGTTTCCGAAAAGGGGGAAAAGTTGTTTGGCAATCCAGTAGGGGTGTTTTAGTGGTTGCTTATATAGAATTTGGGAATTTTGAGATTTGGAATAGATGCCGATGGGGTTGGGGAGGAGAACTAAGGGAGCTGGGTATGGTGGATGTTTGTTTGTTTATGTGATTTTGATTTGGTAGGTTATTGTGTTTTTAGATGCGTTTTATTAGTTCCGTTTTTATTAAGAATACGCCTAAGGCCTTGAAGTTTTCTAGTTTATTTTGTGGGTTTAGTATTGCTTCTAGAGTGAGAGCCTTGTTTAGATTGAGGGTGGTTTGTAATGCGGTTCGATGTGTTAGGTAGTGTATGCAGTGGATGAGTGCGTGTTCTGGGGTTTCTGGTTGTTTGCAGTGTGGGCAGTTACCTGTAGTGTGTTTTTTTAGGTGGTTATTTAGGTTGGTGTGTCCTGTTTGGAGTTTAGTGATTACTCTGTCGATTTTTTTGGATGGATGGAGAATTTTTGGTTTGGTTAGTGGTTTGCTGAGCACTTTTTTGATTTGGCTATTTGAATTTAGATATAGGTTATGCCATTTTTTTGTGATTTTTTGCTTGTTTAGTAATGTTTACACTTTTAATTTCTGATTTTGAGATGGGTAAGTTTAAGCTTATTTCTGGGATTTTGAGGGATAGTCTAGCTGCTTTATCGGCGTTTTCATTACCGTATATTCCTACGTGGGCGGGTATCCACAAGAAGGTTATTTGTTTGCCTGCCTTAGTTAGGTCGTTGGAGCTTTTAAGTATTTGATTTATTAATTTAGGTCGGTTTTTGGTATTTTTGTTTTGGAGGGCTTGCAGTCCACTGAGCGAGTCGGTAAGTATTAGGATTTTTTTGGTGGTTTTTGGATTCTTGATTATGGAGGGCTGAGGCCATGCCCATTAGTTCTGCCGTGAATATTGATTGGTTGTTTGGGAGTCGGAAGGATTGTGTGGTTTTAGTTGGTTGTGTGGTATGGACTCTGAAACCTGTGTGTTTGGAGGTCGGATCTGAGGATCCGTCCGTGTAAATGTGACACCAATTTGGCCAATTTTATGCTAGTGTGGTAGTTTTAGCTATGTTTGGGTCGGTTTGTTTATTTATTTGGCTAGCTAGTGTTGTGTCTATTTTGGGTATTTTAAGTTTAGGGGTGAAGATATTTGATTGTTTGCAGTTTTGTTTAAGATTTTTAATTTGGTGTTCATTTAGGTAGTTTGTTATTCTTTGGGATATTGGGGTAAGTAAGGGGTGTTTACAAGCTAGAGCTTGGTTTTTGGGGCTGATGTTTTGGTTTATTAAGTTTTGGATGAGAGGGTTTGATTGGGACGCGGCCCAGAAATTTAAGCTTAGCTGTTCCCTGCGTAGACTTAGTGGCATTTCTCCTGTTAAGGCCTGAAGTGAGGTGTAGGAGGTGCCATGTTGGGTGCGTGTAATTAGTTTGAGTGCCTGATATTGTATTGAGTCAAGTTTTTTAGATAGAGAGTTGTTTAGGGTGTTGTATATGGTGCAGCCGTAGTCTAGTTTTGATCTAATTAGTGATATGTATTGAGAGAGAGGGGTATCTTTGGATGCTCCCCAGTTAGAGCCAGTTAGGCATCTTAGGGTGTTTAGGTCTTTACTGCATTTAGTTGTTAGGTTTTGGATGTGAGCATCCCAGGTGAGATGTTCATCGAAAATAAGTCCTAAGAATTTGGTTTGTTTTTGAAATTTGATTGTTTGATTGTTTAGCTGGAGGATTGGGGAGGCGGGTTTCATGTTTTTATGTTTGAATACTATTCCTGTTGTTTTTTCTGAGTTAAGGGAGAAGCCCCATTTGTCAGCCCATTGTTGTATTTTATTAAGAGATTTTTGGAGTAAATTTTGGACCATTTTCATCCTTTTAGTGAGGATCCAGATGGCTCCATCATCCGCGAATTTTGATGTGTTTACTTTAGGGGATAGGCCCTCGAATAGATCGTTTATCATTATATTGAAGAGGGTGGGGCTGAGGATACTGCCCTGTGGAGTGCCATTTTCTAGGGAACATTGGTCCGATATATCAGTAGTTTCAGTTATAGCTTTTTAGACAGATGCTAGCCTAAGGTAATGGGAGCGCATCTCCTAGACATACTATTCAATAAAACAAGAGTTACGTCTACATAGTTTAATTGATTCGAAGCTTTTAGATAAATGCTAGCCTAAGGTATCAAGATCCCATCTCCCAGACAAAAGATATGTCTACATAGTCTTATAGATTACCTTGAACTATTTTATTTAAGTAAATCTGTCATCACCTATATTAGAATAACATTCAGCAATTACTTCAATTTAGACTCATTAAGGATTAGCCCCCATACAAGCTCGTCTATAGTGCATTAAGGATTAGCCCCCATACAAGCTCATCTATAGGACATTAAGGATTAGCCCCCATACAAGCTCGTCTATAGTGACACCATAATCTCTTTCAAAGCATCCAGTAAATATGTCAACAAGATTAGTGCCTGTCCAACAGGATTAACAGGATTAAGTATTCCCCTCTGTCTAGCCATTCATTTAGCATAGGGCACAACCCATCGTGTATCAACCAATCATATTCCATTTTATTGTTCTAATTTTTGTTAAATACATACTGTAGCAAAGTTTTAGCAGAGAAGGGGTTTGACTCTCTTACCAAGCAGACCTCTCTCCCACAGCCCAGAGTGTTGTACCGACTCTCTGTGGCACCCTCAGTTATTTTCTAAGTATAAATTGTAAATTGTTCATTGTTAATTGTTCTTGTAAATAAAATTGTGATTAGTCTCCTGTGACTCCAGCTCTTTGCTGACTAATTCCCCAAGAAAACCAGCACGCCATTTGGAAGGGTTTTGTTCATCGCATAACAGTCCATGATAGAAATATCAAAAGTAATTTGTAAAAGCAACTTCCATTATAACTGATGAGAAGTTTATGAAAGTTAACATGATGTCCATTATCAAAAGCTTTATACATATATTGACCTGGACATAAGTTCAATTTCTTACATAGTTTACAGTTGAATTCAGAAAGAAGTTTGGATCCAGAAACAATCACAAACCTGTTGCACTAACTTGTATTCACAGTAACACTTTTCTTTGATATTGAACCAATATATTGTTTGCGTAGTGTACTTGCCTTAATGTTATTCCATGGCAATCCAACATGGAATGATCCCGTATTGACAATATACAGTCAAGTCCTGTTAATCCGACATTGTTGGTTGCATATGATTGTCGGATTAACGAGTATGTCGGATAAACAAAATTAGGTAGTATAAACGTTCATTATCGAAAATTGGACAACTACACGATAGATAACAATACGAACACGTAGGAAAAGGGAAAATGAAATATTCATATTGTTGTGTTACATTGTCAGCAGAATATGTTTTCTAATCATGCAACCTCTAAAACAAACCTACTGTTACGGACTGTATGACTGATTCAAAATTGACCGATTTTTAAGTCGCTAATTTGAAACTAGTTTTGCGATGCTTAAGAAAGCTGCTTTCTTAAGGGCTAATGATTTCCTGTTAGTAATTTCATTGTTCGGTCAAAGGTCGTTCTGATGTGACCTGTAATGGGATGTCCTCAGCGGTAGCGAGAACTTGTATCTGATTTTAATGAGATTGAGGTAATCTAGGCACGTTATTAATCCTGTTTTGTTTATTCGCATCAAAACATGGGGCTGTGTACTCGCGGGCAGATGACCACGGAGTACGCTGATCACTGTGACGGATTAACATGACTGATTAATGAGTGATTTCAGCGATTCGTTGCAAATTAGGTGTGTCGGAGTCGGAGTGGGAGACTGTCGGATTAACGGGTCTAAATAGCACTGATTAAATCGGTTCCCATCATTTGTGTCAGATAAAACCGATTGTAGGATTACCGAGTGTCGGATTAACGAGACTTGACTGTACTTCTACAGTCTCTCACGGTTTATTGATAGTTCATGTTGATAGATGATTATATATAAGTATCGGGATGAACATAATTTATCATTTGAAGGGAGTCTCACCGTACTGTTTTAGAAAATTGGGGCTGGTGGTCTTTTCACCATGAGTCATGGCACTACCAGCAAAAATTGGGAGTGGGATAAGTGCTCAAAGATGAGCCTCAGATGTGACACAACAGAGCTTAAAAACAATTGATGTTGGCAAATAACTTTTTTCATTGAGAGCTATTTTGCAGGGCCAGATGGGTTGCCCAAACAAGCATTTTTCTCTAATTGTAAACTTATGTTTTCTTGACATAGGCTCAAAGTTTGACCATGGCCACTTTTCCCGTGCGGTGTGTTGCCGTGTATATGATGTGTTAAGCGAGAGTTTGCCGCCGACATATCACATCAACCATCCCCGCCTTCATCATGTCTCCCTATCCTTCACTCACCACTACCCTGATGGACAACATGCTACCTCACTCAGTGTCAACTGGTCAGAGGGAGATGACAAAGTGGAGGTCACAGATGGCTTCACAGGGAAAACCACTCCAATGTTGGTACAATAACAGTAACATTTTCATTTGCCAACTATTTAAATACAAATCCTTCTTTGTGTACCTGCTATGGATATATGTTTCTTTGTCATAATTCAAAGGGTGTGATAGTTAGGAACATAAGAAAGAAAATAGCATCATACTGACCAGTTAATTAACAATTGAGGAAAAATATAGCAAATTTAATCAGCCTAATCAAATTTAGATGAACACATTGGAACCTGGCCAGCTGACACCCTTCAGAGGAACATATAGGAGCCTGGCCAACTCACACCCTTTAGATGAACACATTGGAACCTGGCCAACTCACACCCTTTAGATGAACACAAAGGAACCAGGACAACTCACACCCTTTAGATGAACACATTGGAACCTGGCCAACTCACACCCTTTAGAGGAACACATAGAAACCTTGCCAACTCACACCCTTTAGATGAACACATTGCAACCTGGCCAACTCACACCCTTTAGATGAACACAAAGGAGCCTGGCCAACTCACACCCTTTAGATGAACACATTGGAACCTGGCCAACTCACACCCTTTAGAGGAACACAAAGGAGCCTGGCCAACTCACACCCTTTAGAAGAACACATTGGAACCTGGCCAACTCACACCCTTTAGATGAACACAAAGGAACCTGGCCAACTCACACCCTTTAGATGAACACATTGGAACCTGGCCAACTCACACCCTTTAGATGAACACAAAGGAGCCTGGCCAACTCACACCCTTTAGATGAACACATTGGAACCTGGCCAACTCACACCCTTTAGAGGAACACAAAGGAGCCTGGCCAACTCAAACCCTTTAGATGAACACATTGGAACCTGGCCAACTCACACCTTTTAGATGAACACATTGAAACCTGGCCAACTCACACCCTTTAGAGGAACACATTGAAACCTGGCCAACTCACACCCTTTAGAGGAACACAAAGGAGCCTGGCCAACTCACACCCTTTAGATGAACACATTGCAACCTGGCCAACTCACACCCTTTAGAGGAACACACAGAAACCTGGCCAACTCACACCCTTTTGAGGAACACATTGGAACCTGGCCAACTCACACCCTTTAGAGGAACACAAAGGAGCCTGGCCAACTCACATCCTTTAGATGAACACATTGGAACCTGGCCAACTCACACCCTTTAGAGGAACACATAGAAACCTTGCCAACTCAAACCCTTCAGAGGAACACATTGAAACCTGGCCAACTCACACCCTTCAGAGGAACACATTGAAACCTGGCCAACTCACACCCTTTTGAGGAACACATTGAAACCTGGCCAACTCACACCCTTTAGATGAACATATTGAAACCTGGCCAACTCACACCCTTTTGAGGAACATATTGCAACCTTGCCAATTCAAACCCTTTAGAGGAACATACTGAAACCTGGCCAACTCAAACCCTTTTGAGGAGCTTATTGAAACCTGGCCAGCTGACACCCTTTAGATAAACATATTGGAACCTTGCCAACTCAAACCCTTTAGATGAACATACTGAAACCTGGCCAACTCAAACCCTTTTGAGGAACACATTGAAACCTGGCCAAATCACACCCTTTAGAGGAACACATTGAAACCTGGCCAACTCACAACCTTTAGATGAACATATTGGAACCTGGCCAACTCAAACCCTTTAGATGAACACATTGAAACCTGGCCAACTCACACCCTTTAGAGGAACACATTGAAACCTGGCCAAATCACACCCTTTAGAGGAACACATTGAAACCTGGCCAACTCACACCCTTTAGATGAACATATTGGAACCTGGCCAACTCAAACCCTTTAGATGAACACATTGAAACCTGGCCAACTCAAACCCTTTAGAGGAACACACAGAAACCTGGCCAAATCACACCCTTTAGAGGAACACATTGAAACCTGGCCAACTCACACCCACTTGAATTCTTATTGGTTTTATGCTTGTTTCAAACTATGATGGGCCCGAGGACCTCCAATTAACTAGAGATTTATTTGATTATTAAATCAGATATATAAGACCTTGCAGTGTATATGAAGTAGCGCTTGATGTTGTGTACTTGTCTTTTACAGGTCCCCATTCAAAACAGGTGCTTCAATGGCCAGTAGATTGTGCAAAGCTGGTTTCATGGCAAGATTTCGTGAAGTTGCTAAAGTTGCTGGGAAACCTTATTTATTAATGGTTTCTACCTTTCATGAGGCCAAACAAAGGGCTGGTGAATACCAGGTAGCGAAATGTGCGATGTGTGAGCACTGTGTGCAGGCTGGCATAGGATGCTGGGTGGCTAAACCTGCACAGATTGAATTCTTCTCTAAGTGACCCTCACCTAACTCATGCGTCATAGACTCAACCAGCATTTGCAACGACCAAGCCTTAAATAATTTCAGACATTTCAGTCTGTAAAAGATCTACTGTCAAAACGCAAGCGTACAACCTATGTCACACATGGAATAGCCACAATTGTTGTGACAACAATAAAGATATACAACTGAACAGAATGTTCTTTACTTCAAGCATGACAGCCATTTAAGAGACCAAGAACAGCTGTTGTGCAGTTGTGCATTTTAAATACTTGACCACAGACTGTCTCTGTGAAACTTTGGCTTTAGATTTCATTGCCAGCAAAAGTAGTTCAAAGGCTATGCCTCAGTAAACAGATTTGGACTTTACGTAGATAAGCATTAATATATTATTACCATTTCAGCTCAAATTGAGCTCATCTGAGCTTATGTCATGGCAAATTGTTTTCTATCTGTCCATCATCCATGTGTCTCATACTTTTGTCATAATTCCTTTGAATACCCTACCTTTATTGCATCATAGCCATAAATTCCTGCTTTGTCTGTCAATCGCACTGTAAATTCCCTTAAATTTTCAACAGACGTCCTCGTCATTGCAGACATATCAAGAGTTGTGAGGATAACACTGTCCTTTACATAAAATGTAATTGCACATGCGCAGGGCGGGAAAACAACATTGCTTTCCTGTATGTCAATATCAATTATGATTTTGATCTCATTTGGTTTTGTTATTTCAAAATGTATTCTTGAGATCATATTGAAGACAAGTACAGACAAGGTGAGAGCAGCTTGCAGCATATCAGGAATATAAGAAGCAAGATCATTCCTGTAAGTAAGTTGTTAGTAACATAGTGTGAAAGAAGGAATCTTCCTCCCTTTTGCACAGGGTGCAGAAAGGATCAACTCATTGAAGATCCACACCCCTCACAGAGTTTAACATACAGTGTGTGTTTCTGCTTCTAAAACATCACTGAGAGACACTTGGGGATTCAGGTGTGTCTCATCAAAATCAATCTCTCCCATCACTTTTATCCTGAATCATTTTTTCTAAAACCACAACTTCATCCATGTCAACGCTAATCGATAAACATCTATTTTATGGTCTCTGGACGTACCATCTCTAAAAATCATGATAGAGAAAAATCAAAGATTATGAAAAAGCAGGTCATTGTCAACTACGGGTCATCATTCATTTGTAAGGCAGTGTGAGTAAACACTAATGTCATAAGCAAGTATGCAAATTGCTGTCTTACATGTCATGTGAGAAAACTCTGCACCACATGCTTATCGTCACAGAGGGTAAAGAACAAATATCAATTCGAAATACTCCACTGCAGTGATGACTTAGAACAGGCTAAGATGAATCAGAGCAGACTGACCTGACCTTTTTGTGCTTCTTCATTTTTTTGACAAATTATATAGATGTGCTATTGTAACTGCGACAGTGAGGCGCATGAAAATGTATCTTCAGAGCAAGTGATCGCATCACTACTTCTCCATATAGCACTTGGAGACGTACAACCCGCAAGGAATTCCGGGTAGGAAATGTGAAAGGACCTGATGAAATTTTGCCAGTGAGTTATTCAAAATCTCTGGGCTTTGAGCAGAAGAATACGATGAAATACTGATTTCTTCGGAAAGGTAATAGGCAGACAGGCCATCTGCAGTATCAATGAATGATGTGACTGACTGTAATGAGTCAATCGATGTTAGAGAGAGTTCGGAACAAGTGTGTGTGGTCTTGTGACGTTGAAAAGAAAACTTCTTCACAAATTTACCAAGATGATAGTTGAGAGGGCCAAGTTAAATTATCTTGACTGTCAACAAGCAGACGTTAAACAAAAGTACCCCTATCAACTGGTTTGCGGCAGAATCAGACACGTTACCCCAGATGCAGTACGAGACCAGCCCATCGGTACAGGCCCACAAGCCCTCCAGGGAGACACCCTACCAGTACCAGGCCCACTAGCCCTCCAGGGAGACACCCTATGAGTACCAGGCCCACTGGACCTCCAGGGAGATACCCTATCAGTGACAGGCCCACTATCCCTCCAGGGAGACACCCTACCAGTACCAGGCCCACTAGCCCTCCAGGGAGACACCCTATGAGTACCAGGCCCACTGGACCTCCAGGGAGATACCCTATCAGTGACAGGCCCACTATCCCTCCAGGGAGACACCCTATGAGTACCAGGCCCACTATCCCTCCAGGGAGACACCCTATGAGTACCAGGCCCACTATCCCTCCAGGGAGACACCCTATCAGCACCAGGCCCACTATCCCTCCAGGGAGACACCCTATGAGTACCAGGCCCACTATCCCTCCAGGGAGACACCCTATGAGCACCAGGCCCACTATCCCTCCAGGAAGACACCCTATGAGTACCAGGCCCACTATCCCTCCAGGGAGACACCCTAAGAGTACCAGGCCCACTATCCCTCCAGGGAGATACCCTAACAGTACCAGGCCCACTAGCCCTCCAGGGAGACACCCTATCAGTACCAGGCCCACTGGACCTCCAGGGAGACACCCTATCAGTACCAGGCCCACTAGACCTCCAGGGAGATCCCCCATCAGTACCAGGCCCACTGGACCTCCAGGGAGATATCCTATCAGTACCAGGCAAACTAGCCCTCCAGGGAGACACCCTATCTATGTGCTTGGAAGGGATGTTGCCTACACATTCCCCCATTTGGTCTCTCCTAGACAGAGGACGAAAGGAAGATAGCGGACACAGACTGCGTGATTATACTCATAGCTCTGGCATGGCCCAACAGGACGTGGTTCCTGAGAATACCACCTCTCCCAGTGGAAGAACCTTTCCCAGTACTCTAGGGTTGCGATCTTCTGTGTCAGCCAAGATCTGACATATTTTATGGCCTTATCATGTTCTGGTGAAAAGGGGTAACTTAGCCAGGTAGAACAAGAGACGACTAGTACAATGTACACAGATTTATTTACATGAACATTATATATATAGGTAGCTAAGTATAGGATATAAACCGCCTCTGCAGGCTATCCGTGAAAATAATGCAGTCCGGCAAAGGAAAAGCCCCCGACAGATATGAAGATACTTTTTTGTTTACTTGACATAACTTTAATTCTGAAATTTCAATTGTAGCACTCGAAACTTCTCAGTCAAAAGCGCACAGCTCGAGAATCCCGTGGGCAGAGGGATTTTCAGAGAAAAGAACAACCTGTTGTAACAATGGTAATGCATCACTGGAGGTTTATAATGCATATATATACAATGACTTCCCAGAGACCAAGCATGTTTCTAGGAAGGCGAAAGCAAAGTCTGTAGACACTTACTTACTTAGTATTGGAGATTTAATTTGCGCTTTCCAACACTATGCGTATTTCACACACGGGTCGGCCAAGCCATTTAGTGAGATTGCCAAGGAGGGTGTGTCAGAAAGGTGAGGCAACTGACATGACTGCTAGATAAGCTTGTGTAAACAAACAGTGACCACACTTGACATGGTATTTAGTTTTGTGTCTGTTACATTGTTTAGTGCCTATTTTGTTGTGAGATTCATTGTGAGACCCATGAAATGGGACTGCTTTATTGTTTGTTGGAACCTGACCACCTGACCATCCTGTGGTTTTTTTCTATACAGAGATTATTCTTCTGTGGACTGCTGCTAATTGTCCCTAGGGAAGTTTAGGGGGCCACATTTCATTAAAAGATGAAACGTGAAGGTCATGGGAGAGAAAAACGTTTGTTACACTTTCTGAAAAAGTCCAAAGGAATCAAAGCCAGCGTTCAGATTTTTGTAAAATGATTGTGTCATTGTCATTTTCTGAGGCATGGTGTTGTTTTGGAAATCCTAACATGTCAAACGTGAGTTGCCTTTCAACAGAGGTTGTATCATATTTTCTTGTGTATATGACGCTAAGATAATTGACATAAGAGTATCCAACAGTGGTCTTATTCCATATGGACCTGAGGAATTATTTTTGGCACATGCAATCAGGTCAAAGTCATGAACTAGATAAATCTCACTCAATTGCTTGTGGTTAACTTTCTCAAAGTATTGCATGTATAATTCAACTTGGTATATACCTTCTCCAGGATGTGGCCCTACTTTGAAAAGATTTTGACAAATAAGTAAAAGGTCAAGGACAGCGTTCCAGTTTTTATAAAACTTGGTAATATCATTTACAGTTTCTGAGATATTTGTTACCTTATTTGATGCAAGATATTTATGTAGGAAATGTATCTTTACAAATCGTAGCACTTCCCATATTATTGCTATGTCAATCCAAGGTCAAAGACATCTTTGAGGTTACTGTGATACATGGCTCTGTCATTGCCAGTTACTGTTGTTCTTTTACTTGTACAATCCTGAGACTTGGGTAACTCAAGAAATTGTCTTAATGAAGGTCATGGTCTGGAGGTAATGTTTTTTGGACTGGAAGCTTTGAGGAAATGGTGTGGGCAGGGCTGTTTCTTTTTATGGCAATTAAATGCAAACACCTACAACAAGACATGTAGTAAATATGATGGAAGTCCAAACATGCCATGAGTTTTACCTCACTTAACTGCAGTTTGTAAAGGGGAATGTTCTGTTTAGGGGGCTACTTTGAATATTCACTTTTATTAGACAAATGCACTGCAACTTTCTGTCAACTGAGCTTATGCTCTGGCACATTGCCTGCTGTCTGTCTGTCAAAGTCATAAACTCAAACTGAAGCTGAAACTTCGCATGAATAATCCCAGCTGTGCTGTCTCTAAAAGGTGCTCACAAAAATCTTATCCAATTTTTGACATGGCAACCATATTGAAATGGTCATGTATGCCTCTGCATTATAAAATTTTGTATAAAGCAAGTATGTCCTGTGCTCAACAACACATTGTGTATCAGGGTGTTGACAAAGTTTCAACCTTTGAAGCTTCTGAACTGAATGAGCAGAAATTTGGCATGCAATTTTCTTCTAATCTGGAAAAGATGGCAATTTTTCCATGTAATACTCTAGTTTAGAGTATATTTCATGATGACACAAACATTAAGAATACAAATTGTGAGCTACTGACCCTTATGGCTCGTTTCCCTATATCCCTAATTGTGTAGTGGTGAACTAGAGCCTTTTGATAGTTTGGGATTTTAAAAAAAATAATATTTTTCACGTTTACATGGCAACAAGTTTCATATAATTATCTACAACAAGTATTTGCCATTGCTGTGGACATCAATGACTTTGTTCTCTTGATAAGAGTTAAATGTGATGTGATCATTATGGTCATAACTTGGAGATAATATATGAATGTCAGCTTATTATTTATCACATTACTTCTGGGAAAATTTTGCCCCTCATTATTTACATGACAAATAAGGAATTGCGGAATCAATATAAAATAATGAAATTTTCATTGTGTTCGTTGAAAATCCTGCATTCTGATTAGCTGAATTGGTCATGTGTTATTGCATTCATTTCACCATAAATGTAAAAAATTAAGCCACACCCACTGAAATGGACTACTTTTGTTACTACGGAATGTCAGGGAATCCCAATATTACAGTCGAAGGAATTCCCTTTCTGCTCACGTGTATCGTCATGCACAGGACATTTAGTGAAATTCAGGCATATTCATTGTCCAAACGACCCTTTAAGACTGAAGGCCAAGAAGGAATGAAACAGCAAATGTGCAGGCTCGCTCACTGCGGTTCAACAACTCGGTTCAACTGTTTGAATCTAGCGGTAACTGACCATGTCATTTGAAACCACCGCCTTCTCCCGGACATATTTGTTCAGGCTCGTGACACTGTGACTGTTACACTGCTTCTTGCCTCTTGTCTTGATTGACAGGTCCTATGAACATTGTTTTGATCTAACTCTCCGTTGATTGGCTATTCACTTTGTAGGCATGTCAGGTTATGTGCATAAATTGAACAATCAACTTATTCATGTCACGCCTCAGTATGTATTCCTACACCTGGAATGTTTATCAATCTTGTCATTTTTGTCTGCTTTGATATACACAACTGTTTTTGGTTACCCGGTAAACTATTGTTGATAAAACATGTTTTTGTTGTGCAAACTGATGTGCAAACTTTTGTTAGAATCTGCTATGCGGATTCATACAGTTTGCACATCTGTTTTTCGATTCATACCTCAATGAACTGAAGAAAATACACATTCAATCCTTAAATGTTAAAGAGGTTGAAGTACTTCATCATTATGGCTGTACAAAACCCTTATTTTCATGTAGAATTTTGTTCTATTCAATACCAATACATGTTCTTTCTTTTGATAGAAATGGTTCTAGTTTTTTTTTCTAACTGTGATAATGTTATGGATCTATCATATTCTGACTTAGGGGGTAGCTTAGCCAGGTAGAACAAGAGACATCTAGTACAATATACACAGATGTATTTACATGAAAAATACATATATATATGTGGCTAACAAGTCTATACAGCAATGGTGAGCATGCATAGATTTCCTAGGGACAGAGCATGTTCCTTGGAAGGAGGCGAGAACAAGTCTGTAGTAGCCCAAGGAAATTGGTGTGCTCCTTAGACTTATTGAATACAGAGGTAATTAAGTTGTTTTGACAACGTTACTTCAGGGAAATGTTTTTACAGTTAGAATGTGGGTATTAAGTTTTTTTGCATTGATTTCTAGCCACCTGAAATTAAGTCATAGCTTACATGGCATCTCGATTAAACATTGTTTCAAAAGAGATAATTATTGAATGTTTGGGTTTGTATGACAGGTATTTATGGTTTGATATTCAGGTGGTTTATATGAATAATTATCATTAAAGGTTTTCTTACAATTATTATAGTTTCAAGCTTTAAGCATTATTTCAAAACGTATGTTCATATTTAATGTCCATGATATGTCTTTGTCCATTTTCTGTCCGTTAGCACTGAAACCAAATCTCATCTTCTCAAATCTATTGAACATACCAATGTTGTTTTCACATGAGTGAGTGAGTGAGTATGGTTTTTGCCGCTTTTAGCAGTATTCCAGCAATATCATGGCGAGGGACACCAGAAATGGGAATTGAACCCGGGTCTTCGGCGTGACGAGCGAACGTTTTAACCACTAGGCTCTGCGACCGCCCCTATTTCCACATTACATGTGCTGCATGTGTTTAGAGACTTTTATTTTGAATAATTCTAAATGGCCTTATTTTGGTGAGAGAGAAACAACATTTGTGACATCCTATTCTTTTCAGAATCCATTGGCCATTTCTGTATATATATTTCAGATTTTCAGAGGATATTCATATGATTTCTTAACAATAAAGAAGTAAGGTTTTTAAGTTTGAAAAGTTAAAAAATGCCATGGTACTTGTTAGAAATAAGGTTTATGTGTTCAGTTGAATTTCCAATTTTGTCAACCACAATGTTGAAACTTGGTGTGTTCTGAATTTAAGTTTTATGTTGCAAAATTGTGAAACATTATTCCACTGATTGTTGCAAATTAAGAAATATTATTAAAATTGTATACGGGTTTCATATTGCCAATACTTTCATCCTCATTGTTATGCTGAATTTGGTTTGTTGGTTTGTTGTTTGACGCGGCACTCAGCAATATTCCAGCTATATGACAGCGGTCTGTAAATAATCGAGTCTGGACCAGACAATCCAGTCACTGATACCACACAATTGGGATACGATGACGTGCATCAACCAAGTCAGCAAGCCTGACACCTGATCCCATCAGACGCCTCTTATGACAAGCGTAGTCGCCTCTTACGGCAGGCATAGGTTAATGAAGACCTCTTCTACCCTGGATCTTCATGGGTCTGTTATGCTTAAAGTATGTGAGTATCGATGCTGACACAAATTTGTTGAGTGGCCTTGAAGCTGTTGACTACCTATCATGCTGAGCTACAGTGGCATGTTGCTATCTTTTTATGTAAATATTTAATACAGAAATTACTTTTTTTAATATCCTCATGATTTAAACATGATGGCGTCATTAGAAGGCACAGACATGCCAAAGTTCAGTTACCTCAGTTTTGGAAGAAGTGATGTTCACAGAGCCAGAAATGCATTTTCAGAGTATTTAAGAGCATGGTTAAAACAGAAATGTCAAAATTTAAAATATCCATTACAAACATATACTACCCTTCATACTTACTTTGAAGACCCTACCTCTATTTCATCATAGCTAACATGTCTTAAATTTGGCAAACATCACAAAAATATCATCGTCACTGTCATCCACCCCAACCAGTTGTTAAGCAAGGCTGTACCTTATGCAAAGACCTTTGCACATGCCAGGAAATGTCATTTCAGGGAAGGCGCCATCAAGCCATCAAGTAAGTACTCCACCAAGAGGTATTCATCACAGTGGGACTTTGTGCACGGTACACACTTTGATAAGGGTTGTCGAGCAACCTTGTCCTGTGTCTCACCCTGGCAGGTGTTTTGGGGTTGGCAAGCAGCCCAGAACAGGTTCCCACCCTCCAATCACTGTTGACATGATTAAGACTCTTACGTCCTGAAAACTTGCGATTCAAACGTTACAAGATACGTAACTTGGGTACCAGTGGAGGTTTTCGTTTGATCATCAGTCTGAAGCTCCTCAACAAAGATTTTCTGGTGCATCCTCCCAAGTTTCAGATTGAATAAAAAAGAAGGCTAAGAGCATCTCTCAGGACGGAGTACTTGTCAATCAGCTAGACTTACAGGACAAATATCTCCATGTCCCTATCCATCCCGATTGCCGATGGTACCTCCGCTTCACTGTCAACAGAAGGAGATATGAATTTCTCGTCCCATTCAGCATATTGATAGCCAGAAACTTATTCACTCAAATAACAACTCCAATCATCAGCTTTGGCCATCTCAGCCACGTCAGATTACACGGTTATATGGACGACTTCCTCTCAGCCGATGTTGACAAGCAGCAACCCCAACCGAAAACAATCTTCTTTATACAATGCTTTTCACCTAGGGTTTTCACATTCATTCATCCATGATGGATGGACCAAATGAACAGAGCTACTGTCCAGGGGACATGGTCAAATATAGACAAAATATACCCAGTAGCTCCCCATATCTGTCAGTCCAGTTCCAGCTGGAGCTGGGAGGGGACGTTCACATTTCTCCCTGTGGCCAAAAAGGTCTTGTTTTCACCCCCCTCATGGCAGAGCCTCTCCAGCTCCAACTATGTCCTGATCTGTTCCTCCTCCTGTGTCTATGACAACCAATGGCACTAATTCGGACAGTGGCAGAGAGGAAAGGGAGTGGAGCACATTGAAATAACTATTGCAATGGTAGCAGATTTTCTGCTATATCTACCCCAGGAGAATAATTTCAGACATGGCATAATTAATCAGCTTTGGCACCAGTCCTCTAGCATGATGGGCTGTGCATCGCCACCAGTCAAGGTCTAAATCGACCCATGAAGTCATTTCAACTGGAAGATGTCAAAATTCCTGACACTATATATATATATATAAGTTGTCTTCTGACAATCACTAAAACCTGAACTGAGATTAAAATGATTAGCTGTGCATCTGTGTACACAATATGGAATCACTGAATTCATCCAGCTGCGATATTGTATCAGGTCTTTGAAAGGCATTTAGAAGTGATACACATAAGGAAGAGAATATATGGATGTCAACTTCTTTATTATGAGGAACACATCATTTGGGAGTATATGCTTACTCCTTCAGCAGGTGAATGAATACCGACTGACTGACTGAATCGGAGATTTAACATGCGCTTTCCGCATGTAATAAATTACATTTAGCGTATCTCGCACACGGGAAGCACTTATACTATTGGGGGAAAAAAGCGTAATGAATAAATGAGAAGTGCAACCCCCAAAAATATAAACTTTACAGACCTAATCTAATAAAGCTAAGGGGTTGGGGTTTGGCTGGGTGGGAGTGGGTAATAAAGAATAACAATAATATGGAAAGTTTGGGCTCGGGTGTGGGAAGAGGGGGTCAAGCGTGGGAAGGCACGGCGTCGGCTGGCGAGCTGGTGTGGTGGCTGGTCCCGATCCTTACTGTTTAATCCCGGCAAGGAGCCTCCTGGCTAGACTGAGCTCTCCTGGAGGGAGAGCTTGGAACAGCGCGGATGTGATTCGGGCGGCAACATTGGTGACGAAGAGGGAGCTGACTTGGAAGTCACAGTCGACCAGGAAATCGGAGAGATCCTGGTAACTATGTATTTCATGCTCGAACCTCTCCTGACCCAAGTACTGCACCATCACCATGGGAGGGCGTGGGCGGTTGCTTGGGTACACCTTGCCGCTTTCATTCTAGTAGCAGGGGTTTGGGTGGACCTTGTTCTGCTCCAGGATGGATGAATACCTTACTTATTTACTTACTTTGGAGATTTAACGTGCGCTTTCCGACTGATGCGTATTTCGCACACGGGCCCGGACAGGCCATTTAATGTGTTTCCGAAAGGGGCGAAAGTGGTCTGTGCAACCCAAAAGGGGGGTTTAAGGGGTTGCTTATATAGAATTTGGGAATTTTGAGATTTGGAATAGATGCCGATGGGATTGGGGAGGAGAACTAAGGGAGCTGGGTATGGTGGATGTTTGTTTGTTTATGTGATTTTGATTTGGTAGGTTATTGTGTTTTTAGATGCGTTTTATTAGTTCCGTTTTTATTAAGAATACGCCTAAGGCCTTGAAGTTTTCTAGTTAGTATTGCTTCTAGAGTTAGAGCTTTGTTTAGATTGAGGGTGGTTTGTAATGCGGTTCGATGTGTTAGGTAGTGTGTGCAGTGGATGAGTGCGTGTTCTGGGGTTTCTGGTTGTTTGCAGTGTGGGCAGTTACCTGTAGTGTGTTTTTTAAAAAAATTTAGGTGGTTATTTAGGTTGGTGTGTCCTGTTTGGAGTTTAGTGATTACTCTGTCGATTTCTTTGGATGGATGGAGAATTTTTGGTTTGGTTAGTGGTTTGCTGAGCACTTTTTTGATTTGGCTATTTGAGTTTAGATATAGGTTATGCCATTTTTTGGTGATTTTTTGCTTGTTTACACTTTTAATTTCTGATTTTGAGATGGGTAAGTTTAAGCTTATTTCTGGGATTTTGAGGGATAGTTTAGCTGCTTTATCAGCGTTTTCATTACCGTATATTCCTACGTGGGCGGGTATCCACAAGAAGGTTATTTGTTTGCCTGCCTTAGTTAGGTCGTTGGAGCTTTTAAGTATTTGATTTATTAATTTAGGTCGGTTTTTGGTATTTTTGTTTTGGAGGGCTTGCAGTCCACTTAGGGAGTCTGTAAGTATTAGGATTTTGTTTTTGTTTTTTGGATTCTTGATTATGGAGGACTGAGGCCATGCCCATTAGTTCTGCCGTGAATATTGATTGGTTGTTTGGGAGTCGGAAGGATTGTGTGGTTTTAGTTGGTTGTGTGGTATGGACTCCGAAACCTGTGTGTTTGGAGGTCGGATCTGAAAATTAAGCTTAGCTGTTCCCTGCGTAGACTTAGTGGCATTTCTCCTGTTAAGGCCTGAAGTGAGGTGTAGGAGGTGCCATGTTGGGTGCGTGTAATTAGTTTGAGAGCCTGATATTGTATTGAGTCAAGTTTTTTAGATAGAGAGTTGTTTAGGGTGTTGTATATGGCGCAGCCGTAGTCTAGTTTTGATCTAATTAGTGATATGTAGAGAGAGAGGAGGGTATCTTTGGATGCTCCCCAGTTAGAGCCAGTTAGGCATCTTAATGTGTTTAGGTCTTTACTGCATTTAGTTGTTAGGTTTTGGATGTGAGCATCCCAGGTGAGATGTTCATCGAAAATAAGTCCTAAGAATTTGGTTTGTTTTTGAAATTTGATTGTTTGATTGTTTAGCTGGAGGATTGGGGAGGCGGGTTTCATGTTTTTATGTTTGAATACTATTCCTGTTGTTTTTTCTGAGTTAAGGGAGAAGCCCCATTTGTCAGCCCATTGTTGTATTTTATTAAGAGATTTTTGGAGTAAATTTTGGACTATGTTCATGCTTTTAGTGCGGATCCAGATGGCTCCATCATCCGCGAATTTTGATGTGTTTACTTTAGGGGATAGGCCCTCGAATAGATCGTTTATCATTATATTGAAGAGGGTGGGGCTGAGGATACTGCCATCGTGCCATACCATGTCGAAAGCTTTAGAGAAGTCTAAGACGATGCCTGTGGTATATTGTTTATTTAGTTGTCCTGTCTTAATATCTTGTTCTAGTCGGGCGAGGTTATCTAGGGTTGAGCGGCCAGGGATTGAAATCGCTTTGATCTGGGTTTATGATGTTATTTTGGGTTAAGTAATGTTGTAATCTATTTTTAGCCATTGATTCCATTACTTTACATAAGTTTGAAGTTAGGGATATTTGTCCATATGAGTTAGCTTGATTAGCTGGTTTATTAGGTTTAGGGATTGGTATGACTAGGGCCTGTTTCCAGGGAGTAGGAACCTGTCAGTTTAGGTAGATGAGATTGTATAGTTTGAGTAGTGCCTGGAGTAGTTTTAGGGGGAGTTTTTTAATTATTTGGTAAGAGGTTAGGTCTAATCC